AAAAACAAGAATCATTGTTAACTTCGGTTACACCGTAGCTTTAATAGACTTCACAGATGCATTTTTATACTCTTGCAACATATTGCTATAGAGTATGATAGTTTTGTTCTCCTTACGGTTGTATATATCACCTAGAACTAATCGAGATGGATATAGGGTTGTATATATGCTGTCTCTTATACACATCTTTAAAATTGAAATAATTTTAAATAAATTTAATTTTTTATCCCTAATGTGAAATTACAAATTTAATTTTTCATTCAAAAGTTTTAAATTAAAAAAATTGCAACCCTGATGTTTGTATAAGATTTAATTTAATAGAATAAATTTAAAGTAGCATAAATTTGGGTCTCAGTTTAAGTTCTCAAAATATTTAACAATTTCTAGCAAGCGCATAAAAACCAAAAAACAATAAACCATTTCAAGCGCACAAAAATAACCCCGGTAGCTTAAGCCACGTAACAGCTTGGGTGCAGGGTATCGCATACATCATTACATAATGCAATAAAAATTTATATAGTATTTGATTATACAAACATAAACATTTAAAAATKAACCTTTCTATTTTCACACCCACTCCTTCAACAACTTTATTAAACCACATCCAACAAAATGTAAAGGCTCCGCTAATTCACTTAACGAATCCTCGTCCTGCTCGAAAATTACCAACTCACAAAACTCCTTCGATTCTAATCAATCGGTTGTGGGCAGCTCCAATATAGAACGTCAACAGGAGTTCACCGGCGAAAGCAGCGATGTCGATATAATTTCCAACCCAAGTCAATCTAGTATTGAGGTTTTGGATCAATACATCGGACGTAAGGAGTCCGAAGAGAGACGCCTAGCACAACACATGTCAGCGCTGGAGGAAAACTACAACCTCGGCTATACACAAAGTTTTATTGAACGCGAATTTGGTAATACCGCTATAGCGGCTGTGCTAGAAAATCAAATAGTTGAAGCTAAACCAAGAAAAATCACAACAACTACTCCACCAACAAAAGCTTCTTTGCATGCTGACCCATTAACAGTGAATAGTAACAATCCTGCCGAGCAAACTGTTGCTCCCGCGCTGGTTAATTCAGCACATGTCCAGCTCATCGAAAGCAGTTCATCCGGTTCGGTTACGGATAGTGTGTGTACYGCTTATGAACAACAACAACAGCAGGAACTTTTGCAAAAAACATCCTCCTCCGATGAGTTACTCTCCAAGAGTGCGGAGCAGGCGATTCTTAGAAATCTGTTAGCAGCGGAGAGTTTTTCCTCAAACTCACCAGAGCCAATAATAATACAAACCAAATCAGCAAATGATTCTACTAATGGACAAAGCACGCAGGGCACAAAAAAGGAAGAAAGCAACAAAGTATCATCCATGTTTGGTGGTGAGTGCAATTGCTGATCCTTAAATGCGCCTGAATAGGGAGACTACTTGATTTAGGTCTACCAGTCCATCCGCGATATCAAACAGAAATCCCACAATACTTTTTCATACAAATTTTTTTTTTTTTTAAGAACGTAACTTTAAAACTATAAACCTATAATTGTTCATCTAATTCGAGCTGGAACTAGGAGTAAAGACGATTGAGGGAAATATATGGAAAAAGAAAATTGCCAAATTTAGAGTTTATCAAGGTTTAAGAACGTAAAATAAAAAAACCAACCCCGGAGGCAGCGAAGATTTAATACACGCGCATTTTTATGATTTTATCGATCAGTTAGTACGAGAGCCATACATATGTATGCTAAGTATTTCGATATCGACCGTTTCGACAAATAAGCCTCTTCAGTAGGAGAAAAGGACGCAAAAAAAATTTCAGATCCGTATCTCAAAAAAATCAAAAGGAATTTTTCGCCTATATACAGACAGACGGGCGGACATGTCTAAATCGACTACCCTCAGGAATCGCTATACCAACGGAGAAAATAAAAATTATTTGCGAGCCGAATATTGTCAATTATTTGAGTTATGTTTGTAATTATTTGAAGGATGAAGGAWTGAGTTTGCGATTTGTCTCCCTGTTTTCTATCAAACATGTACTTTCCACTTTGAGGTTAACACGAACTGCTTGAAAACCTCTTCAAATAAATTATAAAACCTAAAGAATATTTTCAATTCTAAAACTTAAAGTGCGCATTTAGTTCACAGTGACAGTTAAGCCCATTTAGTTAGGATAAAGAATCTAAATTTTTTTATTTCTTCCACAGCTCTTGTTCAAACCACCAACAGTCTTATGTCTAGCTCAAGGAAATCTAATTCGCAAACTGACCAAAAGTGCGAGCCATACAAATTCAATTATACAGATTTTAATGATGTCGATCACCGCCTCAAACTATACTTCTATCAGACGAAATTCGACGAGAACGAACAGTTCAAATGGTTAGCACGCGGTCGCATATATAATGACAATACAAAAACTCTCTGCGCAGGCATATTGGTAATGTCCACATGCAAGTGCTATCTAATGGAGGCGTTTGGGCCCGAAAATGAAGATGTTGCCAAATGGTTGCGCCTACTGGTGAGCGTCACGGCAGATCGGCTGGAATGCATACAGTTGTTGCCCTGGAAACTTGGATTGGCCTTTACATTACGCGATTGGGGCAATTTTCAACTTTTACTACAGGACATCCTGCGCACCGATAGTTTATTGCTATACTTTGCGAGTAAGTATAATTAAAAAAACAAGAATCATTGTTAACTTCGGTTACACCGTAGCTTTAATAGACTTCACAGATGCATTTTTATACTCTTGCAACATATTGCTATAGAGTATGATAGTTTTGTTCTCCTTACGGTTGTATATATCACCTAGAACTAATCGAGATGGATATAGGGTTGTATATATGTATGTATATAAATTATCAGGATGACGATACGAGTTGAAATCCGTGTCCGTCCGTCCGTGCAAGCTGTAACTTGAGTAAAAACTGAGATATCTTGTGAAAAAAGTAAGACGAAGTTCGCCATATTTTGGGCCGAGTACTTATAGTTGAATTTTTATCGAAAATATCGGTCAATGTGTGAGATATATGATTAAAATTCAGAGAAAACCCTTTTCTGATGGTAGTATGTTCACAATGGGTTGAACTGGGTCAAAACTTCTCTTAGGCTCTATACATSTAATATAAAGATTTTCGAACTTCCAGATGACTATAATTTTTGAATATTTTGTTTAGATAACTCGCTACCGTCACTGTGTGAACTGAAATATCAACCAACCGCCATGCTAATAAAACGCATCAATAATGCTGTTAACGATGAACAACTGAAAATGTGCGCATTACTTAATGCCTGCACAGTGACTTGTGGCCAAGCAAAGCGTAACTTGAGCACATGTACTCTTTTAACTACAGACACGCACCTGTGCATCAGCTCAAGTAAATTTGATTGGCTTTCTACCTCAGATGCAGACGCCGAAGTGGAGATTTGTATGAAGCAATTAATGTCAAATCTCGTCGAAGTGGAGCAAATTGATGCTAATACCTTTCTAATAAATTACCTAGACGAAACACAAGATCTGAGTGAAATATGGCAGTGCACTTTTGAGACACAAGAGAATGCCGACAGTTGCTTAAATGCCATTGCACAATCATGGGAGAAACTGTTCGGCGTGTCGCTCTTAAATACGACGTAAAAAGCAGCAGCTTTCTAATGCAATTTTAAGCAAATCTATGTATGTATATGTATAGTAAAATAATGTTTTTTTTTTACTAATTCAGGATTAATGAATGTATGGTGCAGCGTAAGCTAAATTATTGACAAGGGTGTTAAACAACTAAATCCAATTGATATAGTTGTAGCCATATGTAAAGTAGGTAAATATAAAACAAAAACAAAAGAAATGAGAAAGTTATTATTAACAAATTCATATATGTACGTTTATATTGTATACAATGCAAATCATTTTATATAAAAATATTTAATTAAATAGCATTAGTCCTTCGAACGTACATATATATATATATACACATATTAACCATTTCTCTATCTACGACACGCATATATAATATGTTCAACAAACGTGTCTTTTGGTTTATAAAAAAAAACTAATGTTTATTTTATCAATATTTGACTTTTGTTCAATTCCATTTACTGCAAATTAAAATTTACTTTTAAAACAACACAACTGTTTTTGACTTTCAGCTAGCAACCTCATTAACCTCCGCTGCGGCGAAMCTATAATACCCCTCACATTCCTGCATAACTTACTCTATGAAGAGTACTATTTTAACTAATTTGAGTTTGCTTTATGCAGTTTTAACCCATAAAGAATACCAAAAAAATGTATTATTTTTTTTTATTTTTTATTACAAATCTAAAGCATAAAAACTCTCACATACTATTGTTTAAATGTATTAACGGTGCCTCCTTCGATATAGCGATATGGTCTTGCACGTATACGTTTTGCGAATGCCTTTATGTAGTGCTTCTCGCGGTGATACTCAACTGGATTGTACAGTGGGCCCTCCGTCTCCAAAAATATGTCAAAACTGTACATAGTGCGTACAAGTTGAGTCGCCAACAACGCCAACGGATGTTGCAATTGTAACTGTGTTAGCGAATTTGTCCAAAACTCCATTGATTTTACTGCGGCACTGTTCATGGCATTATGTTGACCATTCCAATAAATGCAAATGAACCAATGAGGACTTTCGGTAGGAAATTTGCTACTGATGCTAACGAGACATTCCATTTTGGCTGAGCCGCGTACGACTACGGCGCGATAGAATAGCTGATTGACATTARCCAGTTCTTTGTCGACATGCGACGATGAGGCCACATATTCTTCATAAGTGAGTGCTGTCCATTGTACGAGGCTACAAGCGGGACGTGTGGTAGGCAAGCGTTCTTCTTTAAGATACATATCAATATGCTTTTGTACTAAAGCACGTATCTGTTTTATTAAATTCAAGCGGGAATTCCACAATTGTTGAATCGATTTTATTAAATCGGGTATTAGTTTCTGCAATTTCGGCTGTTCTGTTGGTGTATTAGTCACGTTTGTATCGACAACTTCATGAAAAACTTCAATGCAACACATGGACTGCAGCCAACGATATGGACGTCCAAATTCTTTAGCTTTTAGATAATCCAGACACTCTTTTGTTGACATATTAATATTTTTCAACTCGTATTCTGCGCCGGGCACGGGTATACGGTCACCGAGATCATCATCATTCAAATATTTAAGCACATCTTGTGTGAGTGTTGCATCGGCGAAATTTTGCTCAGTTTCACCCAAAGATACTACCGTTGCAGCGGTGACAAAGCCCAAACGCTTAAAATAACGCAATTTAATTGCTATAGACTCTTCAGTGTTCTTTGTGCCGTTCCCAATCGTAAAMCGTACCTCAAGTGGGTGTGGTTGCAACACACGCTTACGTTGCTCTTGCATTAAATCCACAAGTAAATCACTATTTCCGCCATGTGTTTTACGCTTCTTTGGAACGCTACCTACCTCTACCTCGTCCGTGTCCGAGCTAGCCCCACTCTTAATAGTCTCCGTCTGTGCTGCCATTTCTAATTGACGCACATCATCTTCACTACCCACTACAATAACACAAACATCACATTCTTTTGCCAACTCCAGTGCATGTAAGTTCATATAAGCTAGATAAAGTGGTTGTGGRAGCAACTGCACTAACTGTTGCAATTTCCATTCGCGATCCATGGGCACTTGCAGTGCATCTTGCAATGGACGTGTTGCCTTCAATAGGGTGCGCAACGATGGTGCGAACGATGTCAATTTCTCCGTTTTCAGAATAATATCTCTAAACACCTGTTGTTTGGTATTGAGCAGTTCYTTGCATTGCGCCGACAATTGTTTGCGTAAATTTAATTCGCGCTCAAGGCGTGCCAAATGTTTGGCATGTCCTGACAACGGCGTCATATCTGTGGGCATCAAGGTGCTTTTATCATCATCCATTTGCGCTTCATCGTCATCGGGCACCAATTCAATATCTTCATCTTGACTCTTAAATTTGTGGCAATAGCGTATCTCACGCTTTAAATGGTTAACCTCGTACAGTAAGTTCTGCAAGTGCAGTCGATTGCTATCCACTCGTACCTTTTCGCGATGTAAGTCTTCACGTCCGGAACGCAAACTGTATTTAACCATTCGATTAACTTTTTTTATCAGCACGAAGAGCAGTGACGCGTACTTGCGTTTCTCGGTCAGTTCATCTGCACGATCACGTTCGCCAGTGCTATTTTTCATTTTCAGCACTTCTTCAAATATGCTGCGRAGTGTTTCAAAATTTTTATGCAAGGAATCAGCCATAATGCTAGTAATGAAGGAAATTCTTATAAAGTAAAAGATATCAATGTAAACTAAAATATTTMTTTGACAACCGGTGATAGCGTAACGAAACTGTTTTGTTTTTGACAGATAAAACAGCGGATTTATAAGTGTTGCATTTTTSTTTATAAATTGGTAAATGTTTGGAAAGGTATACTAAATTTATTTTAATTAAATTATATTGTAAAATTATATATAGATATATATTTTAACGACGGAATCATTTCGTTTTATATTTTTTTTTAAATTCTGAGTAGTTTCAATTAGAATTTTTTGTTTTTTATAAATTTAGTTGTAATATTAGGCAGTAGACTTTATTGTTTTMTCTGCTTATGTGATTTAAAAAAAATTATCCCTACGAGTAGCAGATGCGCATTTCCGCTAAGGAATTMATTTTGTCAAATCTCATTTTTACCTTTGTTATTATTGAAAAAATAATCCACAAATTTTTGTACATTTTAATTAGATAACTTTATTTTGAGCGATTAATATTTTCAAACGTAAAGTTAAGGAATGATGTTTCTTTTAGTTATACTCCTTAACGGGAATTACTTTACACTCAATTGCTCGGCAATCCAATCAATATTTTCTTCATCATAACGAGGATCGGATACAACTAAAGCCGTATGTTTACAGGCGTAATAATAAACAAAGGATACTGAAAATAAAAATATAAAATTTCAATATTATTAAAAAAAAGGTGTATATATTATATAAGTATACCTAATCGCTGGAAAAATGCCAATGCTGTTAAAGTGCTAGACCAATCGGCATTTGGCGCCCACATAACATTGTAAACAATCCATAAATGTTGCGTGGCCGAAAGTATAAAATATGTCAGAGTAGTGATTAGGAAGAATTTACAGCTTCGGAAAATTATAGAGGCACCGCCGACCTGGACGTAAACCAATTATTAAGTTGTATAATTTTTTTGTTATAAAAATTTTTATACAAAAATTCTGTTAGTTTTGCTCACCTCATAAACGCAAGTTGAATGCACAGCAAAAGTGAAGAACACATATTCACAAATGATGAGAATGTCTTGAGTGCTAAGAGATTTTGAAATTTAATTTAACACTGTTATCAAAATGTAATAATTGTACAATACTACTTACACATAAAAAACAATAGATAATTGAAGTTTATCCCTCAGAAAAATATGMGCAAAAGTATTGAAAAACAAATCAGCTAACAGAAATGTAAATTGCAGCAATAACAATAAGGAGTAACGTCGTAAAGTTAACTTCATATTATTAACTTTTAAAAAATAACTTTAAATAAAACGAGTCTACTTTCCTGTTTTGTTGATTTTCAACTAAATACTCTGACGTCAAAATAGTATTTTTTTGCAAAATATTTGTTATTGGAYCGAATACACAAGCATTGCTTCTTTACGCGCATGCGTCGTTTCCAAAGGACATTTGTGCAATGAAAATATTTTATTAATACTTAAATGATTTTATACTTGGGTACAAATGAAATATTATTTTTCAAAATTTATTAGATTTGTTCCCCAAAAACGCAATTCCTTATAACAATTTTATAGTTCATCTCATATATGTTTATTAAATATGTGCTCATATATTTTCACCTGGAACACCCGTTGCTATGATTGATAATAGATACATTTGTCATCCAACATTTTTCAAGCTATCTGCCGCTAGGGGCTACGCCTTTTAGTTAGCTAAAGCTGTCAAACTTTGACACTCCACTGACAGCTGTCAATATCGCGCCCGTTTCCGTTTCTTTCTACTGACAACAATAGCAAGATGAAGTACGTTTATTCGCYAATTGTAATTTTTTATTTCATTATATTGCTAACATCACATATGAGAAGTGAATTTACTATACATTTTTGTTATATTTGTAACCGAAAATAATTGTGCAAAATGAAATTTGAAGCATATTAATAGTGGTTTATTYGTTTTTGCAGAATCGGATTGTGTTCATTCAGTGGGTACAAAATCTACCCCGGTCATGGCAAGACCATGGTCAAGATTGATGGCAAGGTRTGTGATCAATTTGTTATTTATAAAATATAGTATTAAATGATGTTTTTCTAATTTGTAGACCTTCACTTTCCTCGACAAGAAGTGCGAACGCTCCTAYCTGATGAAGCGCAATCCACGTAAGGTCACCTGGACTGTTTTGTACCGTCGCAAGCACCGTAAAGGTATCGAGGAAGAGACAACCAAGAAACGTACTCGCCGCACTCAAAAGTTCCAGCGTGCCATCGTCGGTGCATCGCTTGCCGAAATTTTGGCTAAGCGTAACATGAAACCTGAAGTCCGTAAAGCTCAACGCGATCAGGCTATCAAAGTCGCTAAGGAACAAAAGCGTGCCGCTAAAGCTGCAAAGAAGACCACACAGCCCGCCCAGGCCAAAGCTAAGGCAGCACCCAAACAGAAGGCTGCTAAGGTGACGCAAAAGTCTGCGCCACGCGTTGGTGGAAAGCGGTAAACTGGTACAAACAGCTGAGACGTTTCATTTGCCTTGCAATTGGAATATGAAATATAAAATAATTACATATACCGCAGGAGTATAAGGAGTTGATTTTCTAATATGAAAAATATAAGTGAAAATATAAAAACCATCGTGCGAATGAAAATTTTTGCGCGAAAACAAAAGTGAAGTGAATTTATTTTGATATATTTTTGRAAAATAATTAGTGACAAGTAACTGCCGTTTGGCAAATGGTTCTATGTGCAGTTAGAAATCTTCGTAAACTAATAGGAATTGCAAAATAGCTCTATTTAGATGTTATAGCGGCAGAAGTGTGCCAAGTTGGCGGTCCTGGGCGGGATAAAAATCCGCGTCGTTACGGTTACGTAGACCCTACTATTCTGTGAACGGAGCACTCTCGATCATACTTGCCGATTAAATTTTTTGTTACGGATTTTAACTTTCACAATATTTAAACAAGTTCGTGTTTAAAAGCCGTACAGCGCTAGCGTCTTTATTTGAATTCTAATTTGTCAAAACAATATTCATTTAAATCTCAGTGTGTTCAAAGAAAAAACTTAATAATGCTGATATTAGTTCTTTCGTTTTTTTGTTTTAATAAAAAGGGTTCGCATATTATAACGCTTTAATACAGTGACTGCCGCTCCTATGTCATTAAATCCGACGTAACAACAACAGTGCCGACATTTTATCCATCCAATGTCTACTAAATTAAAGCTTTCCGTAAAAATATTTGGGAAATTTCAAAAAAGTAACTGAAGTCAAAGAAATATTTTATTTTAATACTAAACATGATAGATTTTATTTATCAAAATTCGAGAGCACAGTAAGAACAATCACACTTGAGTATGTATATAAAAGATAACTTATAAAGATAATGCTCACATGTAGCAAATTTGAACTTATAGTTAGATAAGTATAAAAAAAGTTTTAGATTCACTTCGTTGGGTAGCAGTTAACTTGAAATATATTTTCCAACTCATAAATTGCGATTACACACAGTTATACTGGCATCACAGTTCATCTGCCTTGTGTTTGACATGCACAGGTTCACTGGCCGAAAGGTTTGGRTTTGTCATGTAGGAAATAAAATCCTTGCTGCTTCGTCCACCACTATAATCGACTTTCGTTTTTAAGTATGAAAARTAAACAATAGTGGGATATCCATTAACACCATGAGATTTACAAAGACTTTGCTGTTTGGTGCAATCAACAGCAGCAAGTACTATGCGCGGATCGTCTTTTAATGCCTCAGCAGCGGCACTAAATTCTGGCTTGGTYTTCTTACAATGACCGCACCCTGTAAAATAATTGTATGTACTCTCATTAAAGGAAATAATTATTCCCCTTTACTTACAAGGCGCATAAAACATCACAAGTGCGTGTTTTTTACGCTTCAATGTGTTGAAATTTTCTTCGTTCAAAAAGAGCACCTCACTACCCTCCTCTTCTTCCCACGACTTCTCCGGCGGCGGTGGTGGTGGTGGTTCTTTCGGATCTTGCATAAATTCGATWATTTTTGCTGCATCCCGCACGTTAACATCGAATTTGAAAACACCATTCACGAAATATTTAAGCGTTGGATAGCCACGTACGTTGAATTGGCCAGCAATAGTTTTCTCTTTAGTGGCATCTAAGGCGGCCAACACACCAGGAATTTTCCGTTCTTTCATAGTTAGCGCCGCTTTTTCATATTCTGGCTTCATGCGTTTACAATGACCACACCAGGGCGCATAGAACATAACTAAAACGGATTTCTCATCTTTGAGTGCGGGTTCAAAACCTTGACTTGTCAAATGCACAATTTCAGAATTCGGATCAGCTGACCAATCAGCTTCCTTTTCTTTTTGAACAGGCGCTGCATCTGGATCTTTCATAAATGAAATTATGCCCTCTTTATTATTGTCGCCTTCATACGTGCTTTTCAATTGTCCACGCTCGAAATACAATATGGTGGGAAAACCTATTGAAAATGTATATAATTATTGCATGTTTTTTCTTTTAATAAACTAAATGCACACCTGTTATATTATARGCACGTCTTGCCGGTGCGTTCTCGGTACGTTCTACATCCATTGCAGCAATAACGTAGGGTTTACCTTTTAATTCTGTTGCCGCTTTAGAATAGTCAGGTTTCAGCCGCTTACAATAGCCGCACCAAGGTACATAGAACATTACCAACATTGGTCGCGTATCTTTTTGCATGTGACGTTGGAATGATTTGTAGTCATCAAAGTGTAACACATCTGCACCCTCAGGATCCTCTTCCCATGGTAAATCTCCGGTGGGATTTCTCATGAAATTTACCATTGACGCAACACTGAYTTGACGATCATAATCTTTATGAAAATCACCATCTTTGTAGTGTTTAAATATATAAGCATTGGGAGAAACCTTTAACTTTTTACAAAGTTTCTTGCGTTCATTTTGCAAACAATCAATTAATACCATGGTTCCTGTACCGCGAACTACATTTGCAGCTTCACGAAAAACYTTTAACTCAACAGGTGCTTCCTTCACCCCCGCAACAAACAATACCAATACATTGGTTTTGGTACGTATAAGTTTTTTGAAATCTTTAAAATCTGCTATATCCTCTACTACCGCATTTTTAGAATTGGTCTTGGCTCCGCTTTCTTTACTTAGCAGCGCCAGCAATACGAATAACTAAAAATTAAGCGTTAATAAAATATATTTTTGTCATATATCTTATCTTACTAGTTTACTCCACTTTCTTATGTACATGTTTTCGGCGAATAATTAATTTTTATCAAAGCAATACATGTGTATCACATAAATATACGCTATATTTCCGTATATCGATTTATTTTGTTTTAATAGTAAACTGTAATAATAAACTTTTAGAACATAATCACTTAAAAATTAAAATAATTAAAGTAAAGTAGCTACTACTTATACACCCACACAGCTGAGAGAAAATTTGATGACGTTAGAAAATGCCGTATGAGCCGACAGAAAAGCCGGTATGCAGAGTTGCAGTTTCGAGTTACCAAATTGTTTGGTAAGTGTTTATGTTTAACAAAATTTAAAAAGTATATATAGAAAATTGCACGCATAAATAAATTTTAATTTGGAATATTCAAGTATGTGAATTCATCATWTAATTTTYATCTTTTCCTTCATGTTAAGGGAGGACTAGGATTTCATAATATCTCAATAATGCCTAAATTTCATCTACCAAATCAAAATTGACATATTAGGATTGTTTTATACTTATTTATGAACGTTTTACGTTAGTTTTCAAAGCTTTAAATTGTTTTACCCAAAACTTACGTGAACACTATTTTTAATTTAATTTACCAGATGACGTGATCCTAGAATGTGAAAAATTCAAAATTAGAAAAACTCTTCAAGTGTTATATGAGCAAAATGATTACATTATCCAACAAATGAATAGCTTTTGGGTTTTCGATTTCATGCTCAAATTCTAATGTTAAACATTGAAAGTTTTTGAAACTTTTCTTTTTAATTCTCAAAGTTTGCTTAAATAATTATAATTTATAAAAGGAATAAAAAAATAATAACAAATCTAAAAGATTCACTTTTCATCATAAATTCCTTGTTATTGTTATTGTATTTCAAGCACTTTTATTTTATTCAATAATTTGCAGAACCTTTCTTATCATGATATGAAGAAAATTATAAAAAAAAATATAAAAATAGATCTTGGCAAAAAAAAATCGTAAAAAAACTTGGTTTATTAATATTTATTATAATTTATAAAGATTATTATAACTCTATGGAAATCTTATTTTGAGTGAAACAACGAGTATTATATATATACAAGACAATTTCGTTCATCATTATTATTTGACATTCAAATA